CTTAATTTCTTTGGTACTCATCCATCATAAAAACCCAAGTATCAACAAGACTAAAATAACAAACTTAGATCATCTGCCTCACAAGGTTAATATGAAAGATCAATAATCTCACAAATTTTAAACAAAAAGAAAATACATAAGCAGACAGTAGTAACTTTGTGGATGGCTCAAGTCAATAAAACTGTAACTCACCCTTGAAAAACCTCCACAGAATCGTTCTTGAAAATCGCCTGAATCGTGCTTGAAAATAGCCTAGTTACAAAAAGAAATTGAAAACATAAGGATACAATAGTCAAATATTGAACACATCTCAAACCGTTGTTGATAGGTAAATATATTTATATGGGTCAAGCATCTATCAACTAATGGTTTATTTGTAACTGTCAAGGGTTATCATCTTAGAAGAGCAACTATGGTTTAAATGCATGTGAAGATTATATATGTCAATACTATATTAAAACACAGTTCCATTATGCAGTTACATTATAAAGCCAAACAAAACAACATAAACAGGATAACACAAGATTATGGAAACAAGGTTTTAAGGGGATATCAAGGTTTTAAAGAGTTTGGGGCAAACAAGAGTATTATAACAAATTAAACAACTCTTTTTCATAGACAACATAAACAGGATTAACACAAAAACAACTCTAATGGTGGATTAAAAGACGACCATTTTGACTATAGAAAAGAGGAAACGGTACCTATATGGAATATTCAAAGAATACTAATAATCTATCTACAATATGAGAATATAAGGTAAATAAATGCATATATGTTTGCAGGTTTTGCCATCAGTAAATGTGATTGAATTATTACAAGCTTCGTTTGAAAACCCCTAAAATGTAATAAAAAAAACCTTAAAAGAAATAGCCATTTTGATACTCTTCTGAGTCTGTAGTTTGATTAAGAACCAGATTCAAAAATAGCCATTTTCATACTACCTTAAGTCTGTAGTTTGATTCTACAAAGTGAACTATGCATAAAACCAACAGATCCATAAAAACCAGAAAACAAAAACACAAATAAAAACGTTTCCCCATCCACAGCCTTTGACTCTACTCCTCCATTTTCAATTATACGAGTTAACACACCTTAACCCATTATCTTTCCTCAGCACAAGAAACCAATCACTAATAGTAATTTTCAATTAAAAGTTCCAGTTCTAGTAATTTTCAATTAAAAGTCAAAATGCATATCTTGATTTGAAGATAGGTAGTATCAGCTAAAATGCTTCAACCAATCATTCAAACAGAACATAAATGAAATAAAAAACTTCAAGTGAGGTGATAAAGGCAAACTTGAAGTTCTGAGACAATGAGACAGTGAGGTGATAAAGGCAAACTTCAAGTGATGACCAAAGAGACAACAGGTCAATAGAGGGTAAGGAATGGGACTGGAAATTGATTTAATGTTGGGGCTTGGTTGGGGGGAATTAGAGGGTAAGATATATAGGTAACGGAAATGATTAGATATACAGGTAATGGACCATTCATGAATTCACCTGCCCACCCCCTCCCTCGACCGACAACCACCGTCCCACTCTCTCCCCCCTCTGCAACTCACTGCCGCACCCCCTCTCCCGACAGAAACACACCGATTAAGAACCAGATTCAAAAATAGAACCAAACAAATTAACTGAATTAGAACCAAACAAATTAGCATAATAAACCCTAATAATCCCTAACTTAACTCACCTTTTGAAAACCTCCACAGAATCGCCTAAATCGTGTTTGATCGATAAATCGTGCTTGAAAATCACAGAACCGATTGAAACCTCCACAAAATCGTGACAGGAGCGATGATTTGTAACCACTCGCAGTCGCCTGACTCGTTGCCTTGGGGACTGAATCGTCATCTCTGTAATCGTGGAGCGAGGAGAGAGCGCGATAGAGAGAGTCGGACGTTGGGCAGAGTTGTGTTGGGAAGAGGATCATCATTTGGAGCGTGGAAGCGAAAGAGCCAGTCGGATGTGTGCTTCATAGGATAGTACTTATATAAAGTAGCATAGAAAAGTTGTACATTTTTAAGACTTTAAGACTTTCTGCATTAAAGAGCAATACCTTATGCATGTTAAGATGTTTTTAAGACTTTGAGCAAATTTGCTTTATAAAGTAGTATAGATTAACAAAATCAAACCAAATACTAGGAAAATAAAACAAAACACCAACGAAATTACCAATTATGAAGCAAACAAAATCAAAGTCATTCAAAAATCAAGATTGGAAATCAAAAGTTTAGGTTTTTACCCAAAAAGTTGTGAGATTGGAGTAGCCGATAAGGAGATTAGGACTTAGGAGAAGCCAATAAGGAGCAGTATTCGACTTTATTCCAACTTCTTTGCCAGCCTGGCAGCTTCTGTTCGTGGAATCGTGAATATGTTGGCATGAAAAGTGAAAATTGGACTTGAGCACAAGGTTTAGGTTTTATTGTGGGTGCCGTTGGGGCCTCTATATTTATTTTGTTGGGGGCCAGATCACAATTTCTTAAAATTTGTAAGGAAAATAAATGTCATTTTGGCTCTCTAGACTTCAATTTGTTGGGGGCCACGACCCCTACCCCATTCAAGTAAAACCGTCCTTGGCTCCAATGGGTGGTATTTTGTCATATCAGTTTGGAAAAAACTGTCTTATATAATCGTGTGACAAAAAAGAGTTTGGTCCACTGTCCACCGCCACTTTTTATGGCCACCAAAGCCATTTTAATTAATAATTAATAAATGATTTCATCCATTTTTTTTTTGATTTTTATAAATCATGTATTTGTTCATGATTAAGGATGAAATGTATAAAGAAAAAAAAAAGTCCGATGTAGCAGAGTCATGATCATGTGACTGGAGATGCTCTAACTTCAGTTGAGATCAAGATTGGAGGATGACAATGATACAACCTTATAGTCTCAAGATTTATCCTTTTATACAACTAGGATTGGTCAAGAACGTTCCTTGTTATGTAGATATGCACACATCTAAGCTTTCTAAGGTTATTTTTAACCAATATGTTAAAGAGCTAAATGTCATGTTATATTAACAAAGACATTTTCAACCGAGGTGTTAAACGTATTAAATAAATGTGTTACACTGTTCTTTGTTGAGTCAAAAGTAGCCCATATACAATTTCATATTTTGATTAATCTTATTTTTAACTCAAATAAAATTTTAATTTTCGTACATGTTTTGTTTTGGTTGGTTGAAAAGTTAATAGTTCAGACTAAATACTAAATAAAGTGTGTTGATATAATAAAATATAAATGTATATTTAACTAATTTACTAAAACTAAATTAATATACATAAATTTTCTATTATAGTTTGTCATGACCGGTTTATTCGGATTATAAAGTTGGGGTTGTTTTTGAAAAGTATATATAAGTTGAGGGGTTAAAATGTGTTTATTTGCTTAAATAATTTAAAAAGCAATTTCACCACCGCCTCTTATGGTTTAATATGGGTGTTGGGTGAGATATTTAATTTTATCTCATTGGTTTTGTAAGGAAAAATGAAAGTAAGTTTTCTTTGGGTATGTGTGTTTTGGAGTTCGAAGAAAAGCAGAAGCAAACAAGAAGGAGATAAGAAGAAGTTGAATTCTATGATTATTTTTTTGGATATTTGTTGTTATTTCATCTTCATATCATCTACGTGATTCATAAGGTGAGTTTATTTTACAACTTTTTTTATTTGGAAACTTAAAATTGAACCGTATAAGTTTTTTATATGGGTTGGTATAAAAATGTTTTGAATGCTATAATTAAGCGAAAACATGGGTTTTGTTATGTTATATCATGTGTTGAAATAAAGGGTGATATATTAAGTAGAGATGTATTTTGGTTATAAGGGTGACATATCAAGGAGAGGTGTATACTATGATAATGGTGACATATGAAGGAGAGGTGTATACTAAGATAAGGGTGGCATAATCATCGAGTTATAAATATAATTTTTGATTAAAATTTTCATTTTTATCGCATCCTTATGATGCGACAACTTGGAGTTGTCGCATCTATGTGATGCGATAACTTAGAGTTATCGTATCCTATTGATGCGATGAAATGTTGAGATCGCACATATATGAGGCGAGGAGTGAGTTTATCGCATTCTTGTGATGCGACAAGTTCACTTATCGCACTTGTGTGATGCGACAAGTCAGGTTTATCGCATCAATATGATGTGATGAGTTGTAGTCCTCGCACCAGTGTGTTGCGAGGAAATGAGATTGTCTTATCATGTTATGCGATAAGTTATATGATGCGACAAGTTTACTCAAGATGTGTTTATTAAGTAATTTGATTATTTTGACGCGATAAATGAGGTTTATTATAGCAAAAAGATGTATATTTGTTATTTTACAAATATGAGTTCATAAATGTGATTTAGTGATTATTCACCCTGTAATAACATCAAAGAGATTTCTCACTAGACCTCAAGGTCTAACCCTCATTTTGTGTTTCAAAAATGTGCATTACAGGTCGGACACAATCAAAAGTCAAAGAGAAAGGGAATTTGTGAAGTGTTAGATATGCTTGCATGAGCTTCAGACTGACATGTTATTCTTTTGTATCTGAATACTTGTTGTGTATTCATATGTCGTATAGAGATTATGTGGAAAAAGCCATTAGCTATGTTGTAATATAGCTCTTGTAAGACATTGAAACCGAATATGTAAATTGTATTTCTTTATAAATGGAAATATATGTTTATATACAAATGTGATCTTGACGTGTTATATAGTTAAATAAAATATATAAATATAAAAATTTAAATAATTTACTTGAGCTATTTAATATACACCAAAAATGATTATTTTTTTAAATGATAAATTAATAAATAGATGTCAAATATATTAAAGTGATATAATTTAACATCGATTGGTTCGTAAACAATTATAGTTATTTTGATAAATAATATAAATTTGAGCGTCATCTTTAGCATTCTCGATTGTAGATGGTCTAACGAATTTAAAGATGTCCAAATCAATGAATTATAAACTGTTTATTCCAATACATCTGACTTTTAAAATAAATGATTTCTCATAAAATCAAGACGATTTAATACATAATTTCTATTTGATAATTACATTTTTTACATAAGAAAATGGTTGGAATTGATATTGATGATAACCACACTCATTACACTCTATTTTACATACTCATTAGACTTTGAGGGTCATTTAATACAGATATAGCTCCTTCGATTTGTATCCTTAAAATATCCATATCTTCCTCCTCAGCCTGATACACGAATCAATTTCTCATAAGAAACCATTCATATATGCAACAACTATTTAGAAGTTGGAACATACATCTTACATACTCTTTCAATCTAAAATAAACGTATGTAATAAAAAAAAACCATATATTTTAATAAATGTGTACCTATTACACTTTTTAATTAACTGGATGACTATTTGATCTTTAATATTATAAATTGTTTATAACAGTTATTATCAGAAGCTATCAGTATTACTATATAGATTTTCATCAGTTGTACTAAAATAGAAAAATGGATGCTATAACACATCGAAAATACTATCAAATTAAAGATACAGTAATTAACGTAAAAATGAGTAAGAATAAACGTATAGAAAGATAACATATGTGATTTATAGCACAAGAAAGTGATAATGATTTCGTCTATTTTATTTAACAGTGATTAAAATTATATAGTGATGGTGGTATTAGAGAACTACTTTTTAATTAAAAAAAAAACTTGATAACCCTACCACTACTACTTGTTCCATAAGATATGAGTTTTTGACTACCATTATTTCAACTAATCAAATTCAAATTGATATATTATATGGTTGCTCAATTGTTTAATCACACTAAAGTGTCGTTTATCAAATGCTTATTCGGGTAAGCGTTTACCAAGTCATATTACGTTACCGGATGAATATGGCAAGGACTAAGAATCTTACCTGGTAAGAGCGAAGACAAGAATCGAGAGTCTTACCCAGTAAGTGAGGGCGACGACTCTTAACATGGTTAGCGGTTACTGGGATAAATTGTTGCATACAATGCGTTTTAGTTAGTAAAATCTTATCCAATAAGTAAGCGATAGTGTTGCATTTTACCGGTAAGCGCTTACCGAACCATGTAAGTGTTTAAGTAAACAAACCCTAAGTTTTTCTAAGGAGAAATTAAGGAGGAGTGATCAAATGCAAACCACCCATATTTGTATAAACCGTGTAAATCATCCTCATCCGTCGATTTCATTGGTTAATTTTATGAAAAAAATTTCAAGAAATTGTTTCATATAATACTTTTTTTCATGAAGTTGTTTCATATATGGTTATAAAAATTTAATGAAACTGTTTCATGTATTTCTCTAAAATTAATATAACGAAGATAATAATATCCATGATTAACACCCTTTACAATTAAAATGATTAACCAACCTCTTATAATTACAAAAAAAAAAGAACAAAATAAAAAATTATGATTGGTTAAATAAGATTTGTACAGTTTATAAAAAAAACATGGTTTGCAAAATAAACCTCATCTATATAGACATATATAAACAATTATAAGAACAAAAACATATGATGTCCTTCATGAATCATATCCCATAAAGATATAATTAATTAATTAATAGCAAATAGTTGTTGTGATATGTGAGTACGGCAATCATTCCAAAATTTCCGTAGACATGTCCTTCATGAATCATATCCCATAAAGATATAATTAATTAATTAATAGCAAATAGTTGTTGTGATATGTGAGTACGGCAATCATTCCAAAATTTCCGTAGACATGTCCTTCATGAATCATATCCCATAAAATCTTTAAAATTCAAGTTTATTGGTATATATAACATTATAAAAATGACATGTAATCACATATGAGTTGCATATCATATAATTTGTTATATTCAAGTTGTATTTTTAATTATATATAAAACCATTTTGAGATATATGATATCTCTAAGTAAATAAATAAAAAACAAGGTTGGTGGGGTACCTGAACAAAGAGAGTGTTAGAGAGACTTTCAGAAAAAGCAGAGATGTTGGCCGTCACAATCTTGAGCTTCAAAGATTCAAACACCTCACAGAGCCTCACAATGGTGTCTCCTCTTTTGCTGCATTTCAAGCTCACCAATACTGTATTCTCTCCCACATATGATACTGATAGCTGTCAAATTTACCATTGTTTCGTTACTTTCTTTTTAATATATATCACATCAAATCAACAAAATGTCACATCACTATTCAATCATTGTACGGATCAAATAATTAGTCTTGAAAATGTAAAAAAAATACAAAATGAGTTTAAATAACATGTAGAGTGGTTGATTTGGAACCATCATGGCTTACTTGTATAACTTGGATGGGATATGGTCTTGATCCACTTGAACCCAAGGTTTGTTCAAGTTTTTTATTATTTGATCCTTCCATTAACAGAAACTCCGTCTCTTCATAGAAATCCAAATTTTCCAGCTCTAATTTTCGAGACTCGAGCTCCATCAGTTCCGCTTGGATTGTTCTCTCTTGATGTTGCAACTTTTGAATATAATCAATTGCGTCTTTAATTATCGAAGCCTTATCCATCTTTAAAAAGTGTAGAGCAATCATCAAATTTGAAGTACAAATCCAAACTATTATACAAGTCTCATACAATTCACATATCAAAATGAATATAATCAAAATCTTAAATAAGTAACAGTAAATCCATATTAAACATTACATTTTGTAAGAAATCAAGTGTTATTTATGAATAAACAAGGACGAACTGCCAAGTATGGAATCCGATTGGGAATAATTATGACGTAATTTTGAGAAAAATGATTATGAAAGAGAAGGACGTGTTAGTGGAATAGATAAATTTAGTTAACTGTGGAAGGGTGAAACTTACCTTACTGATATTAGGGACTACTGCTCTAAGTGCGAAGAGCCTGTCATTCAGCTTCTTCCTTCTATTCCTCTCGGAGACGATGTTTTTGGAGGTTGTTGACGACTGAGGTCCGTCCGGCGAGCTCGAGTAGTAGCCGGAAAACGTTCCTTCCAATATCCCCCAACTATATATATATGACCGAATGGAATGACGTAAAATTGAGTTCCAGATCGGTAGATTAAAAATGAGAGATCAAAAAACAGAAACATATGTACCTGCAATCGTCAGATTGAAGGAAGGATTCCAAGTAGTCTTCCATGGAAGAATTTCAAAAGCAAATAGTGATTTTTAAGGGATATGCCTCTTGTTTTCAGTCAGGGATAGATAGGTTATTTATAGTTGGTGTTTTGGGTGGGTTTCTATTCGGGCATAAACCCCTAAATCCAATGACCCGAAAAGTAGGAGCAATAAGTTAAATGGATGTCTAATTAGGGTCCGAATCAGCCATACGGATTACACCAAATCACCTGTTTTTTCATTATTTGATGATGGATATTTATTTTTATTTTAAAATAATTTCTCTTTTTTTTAATTTCACCCTTAATAAAATAAAGAATTTTTTTTAATTAACATAAATATCCAACCTGCTACGTGAGCCGATTAATCCCAGGACGACCACCTGTTTTGCAGATAGCCCGGAGTCATCACATTTAAACCTCCGTGACCACAAAATGATTTTTATTCCTCTTTGTATTTGAACCTGTGACCTTCTGGTACTTTTGACCTTTGGAGTCAGCTCAAACCAATCAGGCATCATCATTGTGGTTGAAATTTATTATTTCTCCTATTAATAAAAATAAACTTGTTATTTAGTTTATTAAAAATATAATAATTACATATATAATTAAAGCTATGTATTTTTATTTTGAGACAGATGAGTGATTATTCCGATATCTTATGTTTAGAATTATGATCGTAATATTTTTAAATAGTTTTTTTTAACGATGAATGGATTAAGACTGTCATAAAGAAAAGAGAAATTTCCTTTTAAATATGTCCAATCCACGTCCAGTGGTTTCATATGATACGACTTTTTGGACTAATTTGATAATTTGTTTACTTTTTCTTTGTTTACAATAATAATTAGCAGTAAGTAATTGACCCAATTATGACTTTTGGGTGTGTGATCTCATTGGAAATATATTTTTTAATTTAATTGATTTTGGGTTTTTGATTTTTTTTTTCAATATGGTTGTTTTTTTTAATTTCTTTTAGTTCCTGATTGTTGTATCATTGTAGGGTTTTTTTTTTCAGTTTCATACGCTTTTGAAAATTAAAATAAAGAAAAAAGAGGCATCAAGCATTGAGCCGTTATAGCCAAGCGCCCTCCTTTACAATCGCTAAGGAAAAAAAAAATACCAATCAACGAAAGAGGTTTTGCTTAAAGGCTGACATAGAGGAGAAGAGCTTCTTGGATCCTGTCGTGCGCCTCTCTAGGCTTCATATTCATGATTTGATGTTCTATATTCCTGTTAAGGCCCAATACTTCTCCTTGATTTTCGGCCAACCCAAGTAATTCCCCCGTAACATCAATCAATAGGTGTTGAACTAGACTGATAACCGATCGTCTATCGAAGCTCCTCTTTAAAGGCACAGGGCTATCAATTGGCTAACAACCCTTGCTAGCATTTTTGGTGGGGGCGTACTAAACCCACTACATACCACAACATTAGGCGGCTCGTCTGAATGCCTGTACTTCTATTGGATCCTCCCTATCTTCTAGCTCGAGCTTGTGTAGGTAGATGTTATCTGGTTCATTAGTTTCTTAGGGTGTCCGGTTATTTATCTTAGGGCTTGGAGTACGTTCTTTCAAATTTATTAAAATTTCATGTATATAAGTAAGTGTATCAGTACAAAACATGACAGTGTCACGACCACTACATCCGAGAAGATAGCTGACTTATACGCCCTATTTAATATGAGCTTAACGAGTGTTTGAAGCCACTTGCATGCAAGCCCTATTGCATAATCTAAAAAAGCTATAAACAAAGTACCATTTGATGGACTTTTGGAACTCTTGTTGGTTATGCAAATTACATTAATATATATTTATATGTTATTATAGATTATTGTTATTATTATTATAATATATATATATATATATATATATATATATATAGGAGTGATCATATGAAAACCGTCCTCATTTGTGTAAATCGTGCAAACCACCTTCATCTGTCGATTTCATTGTTTAATCTTATGAAATTTTTTCATGAAATTGTTTWATMTWATAWCTTTTTTTGATGAAGTTGTTTCATATATGGTTGTGAAATTGTTTCATATAATACTTAACGAAACTGTTTCATGTATTTCTCTAACATTAATGAAACTGTTTCATGTATTTCTCTAAAATTAAAATAATGAAGATGATAATATCTATGATTAACACCCTCCACAATAAAAATGATTAATCAACCTCTCATAATTACAAAAAAATGAACAAAATGAAAAATTATGATTGGTTGAATGCGGTTTGCACGGTTTGTACAAATTGAGTGGTTTGCATTTGATCGCTCCCCTATATATATATATATATATATACACCTAAATAAATACATTTTAAACATGTAACTGTATATTTATCGGCTGGTCGTTTATAGTATTATAAATACCTACATCAATTTAATAACAAAAAAAATAAATAAAGCTTATATAATTATCGGTCATCACAATATATTTTTTATTCAGTATTTTGAATTGAATTTTAACACAACTCTAAAAATAATATGGATTATTTTTATAGAAAATATGTAATCAAGGTTAACAATATTTAGAATAATATTAAATCCAATATTCAAATTTACACAAAATTTATTTTTGATATAAAATTAAAGCAAAATTTAGTATTTATCATTAACAACTATTTTTCTATATGTGCTAAACAATGGGATGTATTAAAATATAAAGAATGAAAAATTGATGTAATTCCATATTAAAGAATATGAAATTTATTACTTAATAAAACAAAATTATAATTATCTGTAATAATATAAATATGTATATTTTGAAATCATTATGCGTAAATCTTCTTAATACACAAGGTTTGATTTGTACACTCTACCGTGATTGATTTTTTTTTGGCAAACTTTAGTAATGCATTTGTATTGTCGTGTGACATCTTGTTTGTCCCTTGAGGGTCTACAAGAAGAGTAAAACAGTTTGTAGAAGGGGGGATGAATACAAACACAATATTTTTAAATTTAAAATATATATTGATAAAGAAGATCAATACAGATTTTACAAGATTATTTGCGGAAAGATAAGATGATAAAAACCTATCTAAACAATCTTTAGATACACACTAAGTCTTAGCAAATACAAGAAATGTAATGTTGTAGAGAAGATTCTTTACTTAAGCTAGAAAATGCTTGAAGTAAGAATTAGGGTTAGAGAGTGAGTTGCGCGCACTCTGCATGGAGAAGAAACACTTTTATTTATACTCAGTGCATTAAATGAACATTTAATGCAATATGGTAGGGTTAGAGTGTGTGTCAAGCCTTAAGAGGAAGACTTGTCCTTTGCTACAGTGAATAGTACAAAAAGCAGTATTCATGAGCAGACATCCTTACCTAAAGTTGGTGGACAATAAAGTCGACTAGTCGGTTCCGTACAGTACCTACTTTCATAAGGGTATGGGTTTTGTCTTTTGTATGCATAAGGACAAGACAACAACAATCGTGCTAAACAAGCTTCCTTTGATCGCTGAATGTTGGAATGACCTGAAGGTCTCGTCATCATTCGCTGAAACTTGAGTAGTCTTCACACATATGTAGACAGACTTGTAATCACTGAATACCGCTTCAGATCACGTACTCGTCAGTCTCTAATATTTAATTTCAGTCTTTGACGTTTGCTGAAGGATCTTTGGTGTGAGTGTTGTCTTCTTGAAGTATTGTTGTCTCTGTTAGATTTACAATGCAACTTCAGCGATCACTGAACATACTCAATGAAGATCGCTGGAACTGAAAAGACAGAAACATAAATACAACATATAAGTGAAAAGGGATTATCATCAAATCACTGAGAGAGAGGATCAACACATCTCCTCTGGACAACAAATGTAAAATTGGATGTGCGAGAATACTGGTAGATAAACACATGTGTTAGAAAGTGTTTGTCCCTCGGCTTTATTTATTGTCATAGCAAGGCTAAGGCAAATGGAAAATTGATCATTAGTCTCGTTGGCATTCTCATTTTTGGTTGATGATGTTGCCTTCTTCGTCTACCTCTTCATTTTCTCCATCACCAACTCGTAATTTAAAACCCGAAAACCAATGATGAGTCAGTTCTCTCACATTAAAAAGTTAACCTTGGTTTTTTTATTCAAAAATCAAAGATGTAAGTTTCGTAGGTCATAGTCTATAATTTGTGCTCGGTTGTCATACTCACAACCAGTCTAAAATTACAACCCACAATCATTATCTTTCCACCAAATGGTGGTCTCACCCATGTGATATCTTGCATTGTTCAATCTAACGTCTCAATTGCTTGTCTCTTAACCATTGGTGCCCAATAAGGATGGTGATTTACCCCGAACCAGTGGGGAACCCGCTCACCCGAACGGGGACGGGGATTCCCCGCTAAAACGGGTCCCAAGGCTGGGGCCGAGGATCCCTGGTAGACTCAAACCAAGGTTGGGGTTGGGACCATGTATTGTACCCCCTGACCCGTCCCGTACCTGGTATACTAATATTCATTTAATAAGTATTTGGGATTTGAAAATTCTGATACTGAGCCTCTGTTGCTGCTGGACTTCAAATAATAAGAAATTGAAAGGAAATGGCCCAAATTGAGCCATCGGTAGAGGTTAGATATCACTCGTCAGCCCTCGGTCCTCCCCTCGCTCGTTGTCACTGCCCACTCGGCACTTGCCAATCGCCAGTCTCCTCCAGCCCTCTGTCGGTCTGCCTTTCTGACATGTCGATGACTCGAGTCCTCGACGTCCTCCAGCGGTCCAGCCCTCTCCCCTTCAGTCAACTCCTCATGTAGTCCTGTGATGTGAAAATCTCTACTCTCTATATATCTCTATCCACTCAAGACTAGTGAGTTGAATTTAGAAATTTGTAATTGTAATTCGATATTGGAAAAGACTTCAAGAGTATTTGTATTAGGAAACATGGAATCCTATTTGCATAGAATTATTAACTATTGCAAGGTTTGGGCATAGGATTATTAACTTCAAGATTATTTGTATTAGGAAACTGGGGTTTGACCGGGGACATGATGTTAATCTCCATACGTCAGAGATCGCGGCCGGGGACTGTTACTAAAAACCGAGGCCGAGGTCGGGGATTACAAACCTACCC